GTTGCACCGGGCCATCGCAGCCCCTTCTCCGCCGCAGCCTTTCCAGGGACCGGGCTTGTCTGGGGAGGAGGAGGAAGAGGATCTGGGGAGTGAGATTAAACCAGCCCTCTTCTCTGTGCCGCTGCTGAGGAGGAGGAGGAGGAGGAGAATACATGGGCCAACCTTAGGACCCGGAGAAGTTGCTATGATTTGGGCAGTAGGTAAAAAGCTGCTTGACATTCCGTTCCTTCCAGCGTGAGAAGTGGGGCTCTCTTTTCCTGCCTGTCGGTTTTCCTCCCCTGCTTTTTTGCTTTGGGGGGGAAGTTGCTGATCCAGGCTGGGCTGGGGATGCCAAACCTTTTTTTTTTCCCCCAAAGCGACGCCGCCTGTCAAAGCTCGAAAGTTGCTCTTTTGCACGCCCGGGAAGGGCTTCGTCGATTGCTCTCCCCCCCTTTCCTAATTGCCTTTAAAATTTTGATTTACTGGGCTGGGCTGCTGGGGTGTTTGTGGAAAAGCTTGAGCTGTGCTTGCTAGCTTCGTGCAAGGGTGCTTTCCGGGGGGGGGGGGACACTTCGGACCGATCGCCAACTCATTTGCCGTGCATTTGTTTATTTAAAAAAAAGGGGGGGCGAGAATTTCCATTTGTTGCAACAGCATCATCCTCTTTTATGGAGGAAAAGTCCTGAGTTCCGTGCCAGTGTTAGGTTTTCCTTTCACCCCAGCACCCGACTCAAAAGCATGGATGTTCACAGAGGTCTAAAATGCAAGCGGGTTATTTATACCCTGGAAGGAGCTTTAACATATGGTGCAAGAATTTAGCTCCCCCGCCCCCCCCCAATGCCTTTTTATTATTAAATGGCTTTGCCAGAAGGTGGAGGGAATTGCTTTGATTGTAACAGGAAATGTTGGATCCAGTCTTCTTGATTCTTCATCTTATAGGGCAAATAAGGAGAGCCAGGAGATGGAGAGAGGGTAGTTTGTTCTCAGAACTTGGCAGGGTTTATTTTCTTCTCCTTCCAGGCAATGCTGTTGTCACATGTTAGCAAGAAAGTACAGTAGTGGGCCATTAAATTGTGCATTGAAAGTGTTGCTGAAAGAAGCAGTTTCTAACATGCCCACCCCTCTCCCTCCTGTTGCTCTGGAGGAGGTTCCCTTAAGCATTTCCAGGTTGCTTTAACTCCCCCTCCTTCGCTGTCCCCCATTCCTTTTGCATTGCATTTTCAGAAATAATAGAATACTGTATAGCCTTCTGCCTTTCAAACAATATCAGGAAGAAGCTGGATTGATTCTCTCTGATCCCAAATTCACAGCGCAGGCCTGTGTGGGTCTGCTTGGAAGTAAGGCCTATTGACATGGGTGGAATTTACTGGCAGGTAAGTGAACATGGGATATAGCAGCCATGGCTGGGTGAGAGAGGGAGTTCAAGGCAAGGTTGTCACTTTCTGTCTCTGTGCCGGGCTTTAAAGAGATTTGTGACAAGCTGAGCATTACGGCCAGGTCCTTGCATAAGAAAAAGCAAACTCTAAGGTCCAGGACTTAAAAATAATAGCAATGGGCCTGCCAGGAAGTGGTGCCTCTTCTTCTAGCAGCTTTTATTGTGGATGTGATTCAAAATCTAGGAGTCTGTACTCAATAATGCAAAGAATACACTCTGTGCATGTTCAGAAATAGCTTCATTTTCACTCTATACATTTGCAGTGTTCAGAACAGGTTCCAGACCTCTGGTTCGAATTATAACCTTGTTTATTTAGTTCAGGGATGTGGAGCCTGCAGCCTTCCAGTTGTTTTTGCTGGACTACAATTCCCATCTTTTTGTTGCTGCTGTGTACTGTCAAGTTGCATCAAATGTGTGAATTAGTGATTTCCCAAAGTACTGTCTTCAACAGCCTTGCAAATTCAAGACTATGGGTGCCTTAGTGAGTTGATCCATCTCTTATTTGATCTTCCTCATTCCCTGTTGTTTTCAGTTATTCCCAGCATTATTGTCATTTCCTGAGAACTCTGTTTTCTCATGATGTGCCCAAATGAGGACAGCTTCGGATGAGGCATTTTTGCCAGTAGAGAGTGTTCCGGTTTTATTTGATCTAGAACCTACATCACAGTTCAAATGAATCAACTTTTTTTTCCTGTCAGCTATTTTCACAACTCCCATCATACCAAGCCATCTGCCAGGCTAGGCGTTTGGAGTTCAGCAGCAATCAGAGGTCCATACATTTTGCATTCCTAGTACAGTAGTATACATCCAGTGGACCTTATCATGAAGTAAAAAAATGATTTGAAAGCTGCCCAAGGGCAGAATTGGAATATTATTACAGGGCGATGTGTCTTCAATAATTTATTATTATTGTGTATTGCTGTGGGGAAGAATGTTTTGCATATTCTGCTTCAGACCCACCATCTTTATAGCCCAAAAGCAGTTGTTTTCTCAGAGCCAGTGATTAAGCTTTGACCTGAGAATTACTTACTTTTGTGTAGCTCTGTTGGACGTAAGATCCTTGTGATTTGATAAATGAATGGAAGTTTGATTTTTTTGTGTGTGGAATGTCAGCTTTCACTGTCTTCTGTTGTTGCTGTAGTTAATGTTGTTTTCCTGTGTCGTGTGCTAATGGAGCCCTCAAAAGTATCTCTTATATGGTATTACTGAGAGCAAAACTCATATCAGTACAGTACATATTTTAAAACAGTGTAATCAAAAAGCAGCCATCAGATTTTAAAAAAAATGTAATGTCAGTATAAAAAGGGAACAGAAATTATGTATGAAAAAAGCTGTTAAAATAAAAATCTTTTTGGTTACTGTCTAAATGCATACTCAAAAAGCTCTCTCTCAATTTAGGTCTATTTACCTAAGATGATGGCACATGATTGCATGACATTTATAAGGAGCAGTCCACTTTTAGAACTTTGAGATAATCATAGCATTGGATGTTTCATCTGCAGTGTTTACTTGTAACGTTTCTGAAAAATATGAATCAGATTGCTTTTAGACAGAAGAGTAGGACAAAGTCTTTCATTGATACCATATTGCTGAAAAATTCTAGTCAGGCGTGGGTATTTAGCTGGTCAAAAATCAGTAAAAATATTATCTTATATTTTTATTAGAACAGCAAAAATGTATATTAAAAACCTTTGTATTTATGAGATGTCTATTATTATTATTATTATTATGAAACAAATAAATATTTATGTTTAATCTTGTTCTGTGTTGTGAACTGCCCAGAGTGGCCTTTGGCCATGGGTGGCATATAAACTGAATAAATAAATAAATTGAATGAAGGAATGGATAACATTATTAGATCTTAGTACTGTACCATTATGTGAGGTTTCTATAAATGTGGACACTTCATCTGAAAATATATCTTTGCGTTTTATCCTGAAGCTACTTAGATGAGTAAAGAGTTACAAAATCTTCTTTTCTATAATGATTTTTTAAAAAATAAAGCAATATAGCAGTAATGCTTAAAGGCCAAATAGCTGTTTTTTAAAAATAGTGTTCTAAGGAAGCCTATATAGTGATGCTTGTGGAATATGGCATACTGTATTGTTTGTTCATAGTCAAGTAATAAGATGTCAACTGACATTGATTAGTCCTTTGATGAGCATGAGAATTCTCACTGATTGTATGCTAGAAGTAAAAATAATTTGATTTTTCAATGGGAGATTTATGGGCAAAGTATCCCTAACTGTGTAAAGAGTGCCTTTCATTTCTCAAAGAAATATTTCCTCCTGTGTATAAATCAACCTTCCCTAAGCAAGAGTACTCTACTTGAGTTGGATTCCAGTGTCACCATCTCCAGGCAGTATGATGGATTTTGTAGTCCAATACAGATGAAGGCCATAGGTGGGGAAAGGCTGTTCTAAAGAATGTCAGATTGTGCTCTAAAATCTCATATCCTGTGACACAGAAGTATAATGCGCAAGCTGGGTGTTGCATAGAAGTACTGTCCTTCCATGAAAGAAGATACCTTTTCATGCAGTAGTCATTTCTATTTAAAAACAAAACAAAAACAGATAGCTGATAAAAAAAAAAACAGTTCCAGCTCAGACTCTGGAGGACTACCAGAAGTCAGGTAGCCAGTACAGGACTAGATAGTTCAGTGTTCTGACATAAAACAGCTTAATTTGTTCATATGTTTACATCTAAAACGTATGTGCTACACATTCCATATTGTGCCAGTGCTCCTGTGTACAGTTATGTGCTTCAATAGCTCTTGTAGTCTAAAAACAAAATACTGTAAAATAAAATGTAATTCAATGTAATTTTTAAAATCTTGGCTCCATACGGTTCATCCAACTAACAGCAAGCTAAGGGGATTAAATTCTGTCCTGGCCTGTAAAATTACAGTCAAGAGGCCACCCTGCCTATGGGGTGGTATGTGATTAGACAAGTTTAGATGACTTGCTTGTTTAAGGGTAGGAAACATTTCAGGCACTCTCTTGTGTTTGACTGACATACATAGCTACAAACTGAGGTGTGACTTAACGGTCAAGCACCAGAGTTGTATGTAATAGGACCTTCTTCCTGCATGGTGGCCTTGGGGTGAGTAAGTGGGATGATTTCCAAGAGTGTATGACAGATAGATTTAAAATCATCTCTTGAACAGAGCTTGTACAATGCACCGCAGCACAACTTAAGTGGTGATTTTGTTAGTCAAGACAGCTGGCATAGGGGCTATTGGGAAAAATTGGCTTCAAACAGTGAGGCCTGCATTCAAATCTCCACTCCACTGCAGAGTTTATTGGATAATTTCAGGACAGTTATTGCCTCACAGCCTGACCTCCCTCACAGGTTGTTGTAAGGAAGACAACCCTGAGCTCCTTGAAGGAGGAGGAGTGATAATTAGTACTGTCAAGTCGATTCCGATGTATGGCAACCATTTACAGGGTTTTACTCCGAGATGGTTTACCAGTCCCTTTTTCTGAGGGTGCTCTGGGACTCTGCAGCTTGCCCAAGGCTACAGAAATTACCTGTTTTCGCCTCGGAGACAAAGTGGGGAATCAAACTACCAATCTGTGGCTCCATGGCCAAATATTGAATTCACTGAGCTGTCCAGTCGTCTCCTTGCAGGAAGGGGGAGATGTAAATGTAATGAATTTGAACTGTATTTTGCCTCGGATTCCCATACCTGACTGTTGCAGCTGTGAATGTTGTGAATTATGATGTAGAAGAGTGGTCATTTGGCCAGATGGATGGTAAGATAGATAGATAGATAGATAGATAGATAGATAGATAGATAGATAGATAGATAGATAGATAGATAGATAGATAGATAGATAGATAGATAGATAGATAGATAGATAGATATTGTGGGCTCTACTCTCTTAGAATGTGGTCATCAACTTGCCCACCCCAATCTAGAGGACCACAGACTATCCATTATCTTTGTAGATTGACTCCTACTTAATAGTACAGCCTTAGCATGTCTAGAAATAAATAATAATTAATGATTATATGCTGTTAATTTTATTCCAACCTATGGCTACCCATTCCAGGGGTTCCTAGGTATGGGAAATAAGTGTCACATAATTTGTCCTTATCCATGCTTAGAAGAAGGGAAGGGGGGGGGAAGGGGAGGTGTTTTCATAGCTGATGTCCAGATTTGGAATTCTGCATTCCCAGAGGGTTGCCAGCTCCTTACTGTAAGCTTTGTAAAATGGCAAGAATAAATAGAAGTGACCTTGAAGTGTACTTCGATTTGCCTGTTTTTAAACCATTTAAAAATTGCCTTGGTATTTTGCCTTTACAAGCCTGCTATCCATCTTCAGTATCTCATCTAATGTAGTGACTAAAACAGCAAGGTTCAAATAATCTGGGCACGCTGCTGAGCTGGGAGAGAACAGTTTGATTGCCATGGGAAATCAACGTAACATTAAAAGCTTCCATGAACCCAAAACATACACCCACAGAGTGTGCTCCCTGCTATGCATCTGTATGATTCAGTGCTCAATCCTTGTTTTATAAGAAGATAAGAACATTGGAATAACAATGTTGGATTAGATAAAAGCCTGTCTGTTTCATCATCCTGCTTCCCACAGTGGTCAGCTAGAGGTTTATGGGAAACCCACAGGCAAGATATCAGGATAACTTCCAATTCCCTGGTGATTGGTGTTCAGAGAAACATTATCTCTGTTACTGTAGATAATATGCAGCCATAATGACTACTGACTGTTGTAGGCTTCCATAAAAGTTGTCCAAGTATCAACTGCATCTTGTGGTAGGGCAGTTCTTTGCTTTAAACAAGGCGTTGTCTGGAGGAATACTTTATTTTGCTATTCCACAGTCTCCCATCATTCATAGAACCATAGAATAAGTGAGTTGGAAGGAGCCTATAAGGCCATCAATCCAAACCCCTGCTCAGTGCAGGAATCCAAATCA